AAAGGAACTGAATAAAACTACGAAAAGCGCAAGTTTGAATAGCACGTGCCCCGACCGTGATTTGAGTCCAGTACCTGTCGATGAAACCCAGATGTCTGACGGGCACGCCAACCTACTCGGAAATAAATGTCTAATGGCACTACCTGTAATAATCGGGTTGACCGATGGCTTTTGAGACCCCTTTGTTACAAAATTTAGGCGTGGGTCCCAAAATTAGGGGATCCAATCAAAAAGCAAGATGTGCTGCAGGTACCCCAGGTTTTGGAGAGCCGAGGGTTTTTAGTCGTGTGTGCAGATGCTTCTTGGATCTTCCCTTTTTGGACATCAAGTAAGTTGGTGGCAAACTGCTCAGCCACAATTCGGCCTTTATATTGGAAATTGTACCAAGTTCGATAACTACCAAAATTTATAACAAATTTGATAAAATATATTGGAACTGCATACATCGGCAGAGGCGAGGTGAAGAAGTGTACTTGTGTGATTTAGTAAGTTATATAGACAGTGTGAACACTTGTGTACAATTTAATTTCAATTTATAACAATAAATCCGGGCTTGTTGAAAACCTATAATTGTGTCATAAGTCCAAGCGTCCGCTGCGTCATTGTGAGTCCGGCCATTACACTAACCTGAGTGTACAGACGGCGTGTTCTATCGGCTGGAGCTACCCTCAGCAACCATCTCTCGTGGACACAAGAGATCCACTGGCGCCCAACCAATAACCAGAATAAATTAAAAGGGAGATCGGTTACACACCGCGGGAGTAGATCGCCGTGGCTGTTCTTCAGCTTTCGTCTTGGATTTTGATAACAACTTTTCATTTTTTCACATTCACTGATATATTTACCTCGAGGTAGTCCCACAACATATTTTAAATCAGATAGTCTTCGAATCACTTTATAGGGACCTTTCCACCTTATTCGGAAATTCGGACAAGTTTGTTTACTCTTAGCCATCTCTCAGAGACATACCACTTCGCCGGCTTCATCGTGTTGATCCTTCTTCTTCTCCCGTGCGACCTCGTTATTTTCCTTCACCACTTGATATGCTTCCTTCAACCGATCAGCCAGGGTGTCAATGTTCCCTGTAATTGGGTCCTCAATCAGATCTGGATTCATTACCACAAAATTTGAAATGGTCAAGTCGTCCTCCGCAGGCAAATGCATCTGCGTCCCGCGTAACAAGTAGAACGGGCTAAACCTCGTAGTCGAATGAGGATAAGCTCAATGAGCCATCAAGCATAATTGACAAACCCATCCCAATCACTCCCGTATTTATTAACATAATGACCTATAGTCTGATTAACCCCGAATGAAATCAATCTACCTTGCCTTGCATTTGCGGATTAAAGGAATTTGAATTAATTCTTTTTAAGTTCTGCAGCTTACACTTTTCCTGGAAAAGCTCATACATGAAATTGGACCCTCGGTCTGATGACAGCACCTGAGGACAACGTAGCCTGGAAAAGATCTGTCACCAATAAAGGTCAGTAAACACTTATTCCGCTTTTTAGTCTCCGGATAAGGCCCACAAATGTCAATGGACGTCATTTATAATAGAGCAAAACTTTTAGGCAATTCACTCAACGGAGCAGTTGGATTTCGCCCGGTTTTGAACTTAGCGCAAAACTCTCAGTGACTAACATATTGCTCCACATCACAATTCAGGGTGGGCCAAAAATAATTCAATGTAAACAAATCCCGGGTGCGTTTTATTCCCTAGTAGCCTGCGAACACCTTATCGTGATGCAGTTCAATAATATGTAATATTAATGTGTCGGGCACAACTAATCGAGCCGCCTCGAGTGTATGCCTTCATACAGCAAGCAATCCGTCCTTTGTGATCGTGAAACTTCCCTCTTTTCCAGCCCTTATCGCCTCCATCACTTCTCGGCAATAAGGGCCCTTCTGTTGTTCTCTAAACATTACCTCGCTTTCCTTATCTCGGGCTCTTCCTATCGTCCTCTGACACAGCTTCCTGCACCTATTACTAAACTCCTCTGCACTCTAAACTAGCCCTTGGACTGCATTCTGGAACCTGGTGTTATAATATTGGTCGCGTAGATTATCAATAAACCTCTCCATGAAAGTCTGTTTAGGGGTGTCATGCGTACATGCGTCAGCTACTAGTTTCTCCCGTCCATTCAGGAACTGCAAGGCCAGCCCTTGAAATTAGGCTTCATAAATCAACGCCTTATCATTATTAGTTCATTCACTGACCTTTGTTATAGTCTGTCTCTATTTGGGTGAAAAATTCATTCACGAACTTGTCCTTTGCTTCGCCTGTCCATTCTTTGATTCCCGCTACTAGTGGCTCATCCTTACTTTGCCCCCTGGCAGCGGCACCCATTTACCTCCGAGCCACGTGAATTCTGCAGACCGAGGTTATCCATTCATTGTCACCGTTCTATTGTATTTCTCGCAACAGTGCAGTGAGAATAGCCACAACAGGTGAAGTCAATTTGTTAATTTGTTCATCACAGTTTGGATGTGCCTGAGGTAAAGTTCGATTATGTTATCAACATAAGCGGCAGCGAATCCACAGGTGTCTAAATCTAGAGCCCTTTGAAAAGCTCACGAAAGCCAACAAATAATTTCTGAACCCGTAAGGAGTTTTGGTAAACTGTGAATCAAAAAGGAAGGCAGTATACTTTCTAGATTTTTCTTCCAGTGGTATTTGTAAAAATGCTGATGATAGACCAATACTTGTCATAAATTTTAAGCGTGAATTGCTGCAGCAACTCTTGAACATGCGGTACTCTAGTGCGATCAGGTAGCGTATGCGAGTTCACACGCCTTGGGTCCAGACAAATTCTTGGGAAGTTGCCCTCTTTCATTACAATTGTCACGGGGCTCAGCTAGCTAGACAGTGACGGCTCTATTATCTCGTCTTTCAGCATGCCTTGAATTTGACTTCTCACTGCAGGTCTCACTAGTATTACCCTTGAGCACCCAATTAACGGTTATGTACTACAGACCTCAAACTTATACACAAACATATTGCATCTACCAGGCTTCTTTGAAAAACAATTTCTGAACTCGAGAAACAACTTAAACAATTCCTCTTTCGTCTCTTGGATTAGGCTGTTAGGTTAGTGACGACGACAGCGCCGTATGTTCAAAGACCACCGTTAGTAGTTATCCATTCTAAACTTCATTCTTACCTTGTGAAAACAATATCCTCATAACTTGACTGCCGAACGTTCGAAACGTCCTTCCATTCAACCACATATATGTCGTAGCATTCGGACTGGTGTGAACCATGATAAACTCGTCTCCCCTCTGATGTTCGGTATCTGAACGCCCATCTCGGCAGAATATAAAGCTGGCTATGGGACTGGAGGATTGCTATCAACGTCTTGAAGAGTACAAATGTGCTTAGACATCTTTGACAGCAGAAGCTACCTGTCCATCAGAAATATTGTGCTGCTCAACGAGCTCATTCGTCCTACGATCGATTTAGCATGTCCGACCTGGAGGTCTACTACCTGTAGCCACGTCCGAAGCTGCATATGCTACATTCCAAGTGTCCTTTTATTGCAGAACGCCCTGACATTTCATACTATGGACTATACTATACTACTGGTGGGAGATTTTTCCATCAGGGAACTTGTCCTTTCTGAAAAGGATTCTGGTTGGATGGATCTCAGGGTTTTTAACCTCCATGTGTTGGGATCACTTTGGCTGATCGCAAAGAGAAATCACTTTGGCCGTTGGCCCTCATGATTGGGAAAGGCGAGCCGTGCTCCTTTTGTATTCCACCCTGGTATTTGCCTTACAACTGGGGAAAAGCAAGGAATACTTCAATCGGGGTAGCTGAGTAGTTAGACCACATGTTACGCCGACTTGGCCGTCTTCTCAGGGACAGCCTCAACAGGCCTGGTGAAAAATGTCAAGATTGTGAATAATTTTAAGTGTAATCCACCATCGTCAGAACTCTTCAGAATTGAGCCAATAACTCTGCACTTTATCTACAGTTTGCATTTGTGGGCTTTGTATGCTTCTCACAATAAAGAATATTATTTCCCTAAACAGCATCAAACAGTTGATGTTTGTAATGGATAAATGTTATGCTTTCCTTGTACTTTTAAATACTATTCAGACAAGTGAGCTTCAAAGGTTAAGTATTGCTGAAAAGAGAATGTGCACATTCAAAGAACAATATTTTTATGGGACTCTGTTTTGGAGATATTCTTATCATAAGAAAGAAATGGGAGTATGAGTTACATGAAAGTTTGAAATGGCTGAAGGGTGCAAGGATGCGTAAGTTATTTGGATATGACAAAGTATGTATACAAAATGGAACACACACAAATGAAGTTGTTACGGAATGAGCAAAAGTATATGGAGAGCTGCATATGAGTGTGACAAATTTTTTAAGCAAAAATTGGTATATATTTTGCCCCAAAAAAACTATAGTAAGAATGAGTATGCTTACTGTGTAAGATAGTATTATCACAAAGGAGATAAACACAGACACATACTCTGCAATTTTCCTTTTCTTTTACTTTTAAAATCCTAACAACAATAGTCTGTGCATCATATGGCACTTTAATACATTAATAAATAGAAATACACCCAAGAATAAAAAATTGTCAATCTACAACCAGAGATGCCTTAATGCCAATGTTGGTGGTAGACAAAGTATGGGATTCTGAATGGATTTTACTACACTACATTTATTAATAACAATGCTTATATTCTCCAGAAACAGGCCACTATCCTGACGCACAGCTAAGGGTTGAAGGTATGAAATATGTAACAGTAGAGGAAAGCCACTGTAAAATTAATTTGCAGCAGGATGGGGAATAGTCTATTATAAAGGTCACTAAATGTATGTAAATTTTTGAACAACCACAATTGATTACATAAGTATGTCCTTCATACATTGGCCCCACCTGTGTTCTAGGTATGCACAGGATGTTTAAGAGTCTGAATTTACTAAGGTTTACTTTTACTGCACATACTCAGATGACCCCCTCCTGCAGACTTTCAAAACAATACACTTTTTACCTCAACATTTACTATACAATAAATATTACCCCAACCTTTATGCAGATATGTTAACAATATGTCATACCATACAAATATAATTCTTTACACACACATGCATACATATATAAAACTCATAAACCAATTCACTGGTACCATGAGACCCCCATGTTTATTTTCATACAAAAGAAAAGGACAGAGACTTAGAACAAAAGAGTAGAACAGAATGTGTATATAATTGCCCAAACTGAGTCAATTAGACTGCACACATATGAGATTTGAGACCTTCACAGCTGTAAATAAAGATTGTGGTCTTCTGGGTTAAGAGGCCATAATTCCTTGTAAGTGATTACCAACATCTAGGAGTGAGTGAAATTGATACCAACTATTAAAACATCTGCCACGATTGTTGGAATAACACCAGCAAATCTCCCCACATTATGTGAAAAATACTGAAACTTCAGATAATACAAATTCTGAAGGCTTCATACACAAACTCAGTGTTCTTCAGGTCAGTCTGAAGCACACCCTCATCAGCTTTGATGTCATCTGGCTCTTCACCAATGTGACTATTAGGAATACTTTCAATCTCCTGAATCGACATTTTGACACTGACAACATATTATACTACTAAATTCTGATATCCTTGCTTTTCTGTTTTAATGGGCAGTTCTATGAACAAACACACAGAGTGGCCATGGGTTCAACCATGTCACCTGAGATTAACAAATCATACCATTAAACAGAAGAACATACAAGCTCATTTTATTGTGGTTGCAATGTATTGGTAGCATATTAGTGATCTGACCCCATGAACTGGACAAACTGAAACAATTCCTTGACCACCATAGGCAACCAATCCTCCATGGAGATGGTAATAGATGTTCATTTTCCATTCCCAGATGTGCTGTATACAGTAGACCAGATGGATCCTTCGGTCATAAAATATAACATATAGGAATTTCAAATTTCACTTCCATCTGACAAGCAGTCAGTTTCATTTTCCACCCTGGTAAAGAGATCCAAAGCCATCTGTGACCTAAACAGTCTCCACCAAGAATTATAATTTATTCAGATCATCTTACAAAAAAGGATATAGATTCTCCATGCTATTCATACACCTGAGATGGTCAGACTAAGATGGCTGTTTCACCCTCTGTCAACACCACCCTCAATTGCATTAGCAGGCTTCTGTCTAAGCACATGAAGACAGTAATTTTCCCATCAAGCAGTCTCCAGCTTAATTCAGGTCATGAAGGATGAGCTAGACCTAAAACAATGGGTGTAAACAGAATCTCTTGCAATTGTGGGACAGCACACATTGGACAAACAGATATCCCACTCACACCAGGGTCTACATACACACATACATATCCATTCCTTTAACCACCCCTCCCAAACAGCCTGAGTCTCACTCCTCACTATATATTTCTCCAAAATGATGATATATACCTATAAGACTACAAGGTGTCATAACCCAGAAAAAACATAATCAGGACTATGAACCAGATTGCAACTACTTTATCTTCTTATGTGACAATACCTGTGCAAGAACTGATCAATAAGCAGTGAGATGAATACCAACTTTCATACTAAGTAAGGACTTATTGAAATAAGAAATAAGTAAATTATTCTGTGACTGATGTTTGTAATATAGACTGTGAATAGTCTTAAGAGTAGTACAAGTTTTTCCATGAATTTGAAAAATGTTCAAATGTTAACTTATGCAGAAAAAAGTTCGGTATGCATTCAAAAGTTACCACCTCATTCTAAATAGACATTTTAGTTCCTTCCATAGATTATAAGTCAAGCTGCTTTAACTAAATATGGAATATCACACCCTGCTCTTGGTGCAAGGATTATTGAGACTTTGGTTAAAGTTAAGTAAATTTTAAATTGGTGACAATTGACTCATAAACCACATGTAACTTCCTCAATACTAGAGAGAACATAACACACACAATAGTTAAGTTCTATTTTACTGCTTTAACATATATGGAATATTTGAGTTTCATGGTAGGTTCAATGAAGCCATCATAAAGTTGAATAAATGTAAAAAGAAGCAGCATCTGACAAGACATACTGATGACAGGAAATGATGACCCTCCAATGTTTATATAATAAGGTATCCCTATCATCTAATTTTATTAGGACAAGTTCTGTCTAATGCCTCCTCAGTGGCCATCCTTCATCTCATTTTGCAGTGGTTTGCATTTCTTAATTAATTTAGAAAATCTGTATCCACACTTCATTAATGTGGAAAATTCATTTCAACTCAATTTTTTCACTGCAGATTCAGTCTTCTATTCATACAAAATATCTTGGTTTCTGTTGTAGTCTTTCCATACATATATTTTACAGTATGCTTTAAATTTACATCTCAGAAATGGTAATCTTGAATTTATATGAGGGTTGTTCAAATAAAACTCAATCAGGAACTGTTGTGGGCAAAGGAGTAGAGGCTGTTAAAAACAGTACTTATAGGAGTTCAGGCAAGTATCTCATTGATAAACAAACCAACAGATCCCCCTTAAAAGGAATTCCTTGGGCTGCTTCTAGAATCACCCAACCACTGCAGTTTTGACATCTTCTTCTGACCCAAACCTATGGCCTTTAGCACTCATGTTCAAGGACCCTGACACCACCATCAATGTTCAGCACTAATGTGGGACCCTCTGAGACCTTCAATAGAAGATCATCAAGAGAAAGCATTGCAGCATCCTTATGAGGACTCTCATTTCACTGCATATCAACGCCTGTCCCCATGTAACCCCACTGTCCAGAACACATTTTTCTCCATGTGCTGGACAGTGTTAAACCATATGTTTGGCCCACTCAAGAAAGTGTCAGGGTCAGATGGTAACATGAGGGCTGCAACAGCACAGTGGTTCCAACAGCAGCCCAAGGAGTTCCTTTTGGAAAGGATCAATCAGCTGGTGCATTGATCGAATGCCTGCCTCAACATCAATAGGGGTTATTTATAATGGGTCTACACCTTCACCTAGAACAATGTCAGTCTGGTTTCATTTCAACAACCCATATTTATGATTTCAGGCTTCTCTATTATAAAGGAAAGTTGGTAAGGCTAAATGACATATTCTTATTCTTGTATCTGTTTAAGTTCTGATGGTTTACATATTATTAGATTCATTAATCATGTAATGCTGAGGAACTTTGATGTTTTCATTTCATTTTCATATGGCAATCAACATTCAAATTAGAGCTGTTACACTATTACGTTCTTTACTACCCATTTATGTACCCAAATTACTCATTTACAAAAGCCCACTTGACTCTGAAGAAGATGAACAAATGGGTCTCAGTTTTCACCATGTGTAACTAAAGTTATGTAGCTCTGAATTCTTGTTAATGTCATTTGTTAACTACTACACTGAAAATGTTCTGCCACATTACTGTGACAAGTACACTATTCATGAAAGATGTGGTGTCTGTAAGAAATTAATTTTTAAAGCCATATTTATAGTCTGGAATAGATTTTTCTGAAGATAAGACACACTGAATCTTTAAATATTTTCTTAGATCTAAAATAATTAAAAACAGAAATTCACGCCTCAAAAATTAAAAAATCTAAAAAACATTCAAGACCATTGATCTAGGCCTGCCATTATGTACCACCAGAACGAAAATCCTTGGTATATCCATCACGAAACTAGTAATTAACTGATGATGAGTACAACAGTTATAATTACTATTAGGAACTCATCCTTTCTTCCAACACACAAGATCAATATATGATCAGTGATGTTACAATGCATATGTTCTCTATATTCTTGACATTTTAGAGAACATTACCATCTCAATCTTCAATGCACAGTTATCTCCCAATAACATCTGCCATTATTATAGTGAACGTTAACTGGTTGGTTAGAAGAGCTCCATTCTTTCAGAATTCCTGTCATAACTACTTTGTCCTTGTATGTACAGCATAACACTATTAGCCTCTATATAAATTACAAAATTGTATTTATGTGACCATACACTCATATAGTCTCATCACAGACTGACAATTGCAGTAACAGCAATTAAAGTAAACTGACATGTTATTGTCTCTATGGGAAATGTAAGTGACTTACACACAGAATGGCAAAAGTGTGATCTGCAAGAAACAGTTCTTCAATATGAAGCACAACTAGTGGTGAAAACAGGAAGATCAAACACAAAATATGGCATTTGACAAATAGTCCTGAAATGTCCCCATGAAAGCTGCATTTAATTATTTACACACTGATGGTTGCTGTCACCTTCAAAGCAGTCTCCTTGCACACCAATACACTTAGTGAGTTGGAATTTGCAATGCTCAAAACATTTCTAGAACTCCTCTACTGGACTGCTCTTCAGGATTGTTCTCACATGTCAAGAAATGTCAGCAATGACTGAAAATCTGTGGCCCCTCAAAGCAGTCTTCGGTTTGGGAATAGCCAAAATTTGCATGAAGTCAAATCTGATGGATATGGTGGATGGTCAACTTTCAATATTGAGTTTTGGCCAAATGTCAAACATGTCACATGCGGGGGTACTGACATGATGCAAGATCCAACTCCAATTTTTTCAAAGCATCAACTCCACAAGCCTTTGTTCATATCTGCAGAGTTTCACTCATGCTTTTGTCTAACTTTGCAAAATCTTGATGTTAATGCATTGGTCCAATAACTTATCACTCATTTTTCCACTGGGATGTAAATACAGGATTGTGTAACTCTGTCATTGCTGCAATACTACTGCCTTATTTGCTTCACCAACACACAAGATGCAACCACAGACACATCATAACACATTGCTGTTTCGTTATTGTTACTGGATGCAACATATATGTGGGCATTACGGAAAATTAACTGGCACACCTTGTACAAGATTAAGAAATGAATTAACTCAACTTTTATGAATAAAACTGTTCAAAGCAGCTTATGTTCCATTATTTTACACCTGATTCAATAATAATGCAGACATTATACACCATAAAAAAGTAAAATAGATGATTATGCATGGAAAGTCAGGACACATGGGCTGTCATGATTTCATTGGTTCTATCCTAATGATGTAGATCTACTGTGCAGAACTGAGAAATATTATGTCTGGGAGAACTGGTTCTGGCCAAGATACAAAAAAAGAATGGTATTCACTATAATGCTATACAGAACATGTATCTGGATAATAAAATCATGGGTTCTAACTTTAACTGAATGATAATATACTCAAAATGGCTTTAGTATTACTCAGAACAATGAAGTTAATATTATAAAGATTAGCCTCTTTCTTTTTATCATATCACTTGGTAGCTGATAGAATGAAGACCTGAACTTTCATATATGATCTTTCTTTTTATTTTGCAAGATATTTATGCTACAAATTCACAGAGAATCTTTTATACATTTATTCCAGTTACAAATATTTTCAATTATAATGAATGAATAAAGTATTTCAAACTGTAGTATGAAGCAATATTATTTAAATAATCATTAAAAACAAGTCATAGCTGTTTAATTTTTGTTTGTAATATTTGTGACAGGATCACTGAATGGCTCAATTTGTCACCTCTAGGCATTCTATTGCAAATCAGAAGCAGAAAATGAAAACATGTTTCTATTTGAGCAATGAGGTGTTCTTACAGCTTAGCAGAAGACTCATTTGTTTCTTCATACATTGCTATTTGAGGAACTGTGGATCAAGCCTTGCAAAAAATAATTTGTAAATAGAATTTAACAGTTTTGACATCCTTAGTTTTCAATCTGTAGTCATTCCATCAACTACCAACCCTTTGATTTTGAAGCAAAAATTATGTTACAATAAACAAAAAATTGGTCCCAATGATGGAGAAAAATAAAAACTCACTTTCAGAAGGACTGATTACCATCCACATTAATTCTTATCAAACATGGTGTGAGTTCTATTCTATAGGCACCTTACCATATCCATTCTTATGGACATATAAAATGGTAACTTCGTGTAAGATTAAGTAAGAGTACTTCCCATTGTTCGGATAATCAAAGGCAACATTTTTTGGATGCTGGATTGGTTTCAGTCTTTAAAAGAAAAGGGTTCCTGACTAGGGAATATTCTTAGTGTGCACACTGAGTTCTTCAATCCTCTCTTTTACGTGAAGGCAGAGAAAGAACCATACTAGAAAACATGCACCTTTCTTGATCAGAAAATGTACAATATCCAAAGAAGATAACCCCATGATAATAGGCCTACTAAACCATACTACAGTACCAGTAATCTCATTAGAATAATGAAGCTAACAGTTGATACAATTCATAACAATTTTTAACCTCTTACAGCAACAAAAGGATATTAATGATGCCTTACATACTTGACTGAGTCTTCACACAATTTATTCTATTTAAAAACTTCATATTGTAAAGATGATCAACAATCAACATTTAGTGAAAACTGAAAGGAAATATTACCGAAATATGAAATGATAATTCTGGCTTTAACTCTTTTTCTACAAATTTACAGAACAAATTGAAATGTATTTTAAAATACTACCACTGAAGGGTTCTGTTGCAGCAGTCCTGATTATTAATCAGTTCCTGTACAATGTATCAGGGCACAGAAACAAATAAATACTCAGCAAGAAGTCCCTTTCAGGTGTCAAGTGATGTAACTTGTCCATTATGATCTGTAGGTGATAACACCTGTAGTCTTCAATAGGCCTTCACATAAGATAAATGTTTAGAATATGTATATCAGTGCTTACAATTTTCCTTATCATGATGACGGATATCTAAAAATATTTTCACATAGAAGGAACTTCTCCTTGATTAGCCTGCATTCCTTTTACTTGTAACATTTGTACTTGTGTTTTTTACCATGACTACATCACCCTTACAGGCTCCCCCCCTCTCACATCTAGAGTTTACATACATACATACATAACAAGTCTTAAGCATATACATAAACATACAGTATCAATGAAGGGTTTACAGAACAGAAATTTCTGTGGGAAAGTCATGACTATTGTCTGCAGATGGCTTCCAACAATAATTCATTGTAATACTATGTCATGAAAAATATACATTCTAGACATGTATGATTCCTCCTTAAAACATAAAAAGAGCAATGATGACTGTTGGTACTGACTGGTGAAAAATATGACATTGTTCTGGTAATAAGTACACTAACGGCGCCGTCTTTAGTCACTCTGATATTAATAAAGAATGGGCCAGGAACTATTAGCACTATGTCAGTTTCCACTATAACAAAATCCTCATCCTGCAGTAAGCATGTCCAGTCTGATTCAGTAAATACTGCAGAACCAGATTTTCATTATCACACAGCTGCTTCTTAAAATAATAATTTAAAAAGAAGTTTGTCTACACGAGTGCTAATACAAACCAATCACTCATAAAAGCTTCACCAATATATGCTCAACCCATCAGATATCACAAATGATCATGTGTCAGACTATATTAACCTCTTCTGCACAAACATCCAAATTCACTTACACAAAATATACATATCAAGAAAATTATCAATTAAAATTGTTGCTACAACATCTCCTCCTTCACATTCTATTGCAAAAAACATATCACTGTAAATGGTTCTGAGAACATAACCTTAAAACTTCTTATTGCAGCATTTCTGTCCATGCATCGGCTGAACAAATAGACTTAATATGTAATATAATTAATATATCCAAATTAAAATAATTACTTCAAAGCCGTCTATGTGATTTAAAAGAAAGAAAACTGTCTTAAACTAAAAATTTGTTGAAAAATAAACTCAGATTTGGATTAAGTGGTGACATCCATTTCCTTTCACTTCATGTTATTTTAAATGTCTTGAAGGTAAATCAAGTGTAACTGTCTCCTCCTCCAGAGTATCAAGAAGTGAGGTCCATAACAACCTGCAGCACCCAATGTGTTGTCCCACTGGTTGCTTCACTTACTCAATACAGTTACAGGCACTTAAAAAGAAAGACCCTTCTCATACATATGGTGCCTTAGTCATGGAATTTATTCTCTTACCTTTTCATTGTTATGTGTGTATGTCACCCATTTATAACATCACCAAATGTTGATTACAAACAACTCAGGTGTGTCAGTTTGTATTAATGTTCCTCTGCTTTTCCCTTTTATACACAATTTTCATTTCATATTTTCATTATAAAATGGTATGACATAGACACAATATGAGAAAAGTAAATAATATGAAAAATCTAATGGAATTTTCTCCTATACATGAACATTATCACCAATTTTATCCACTGACTGACATTGGCATTAGCAAAACTAAATGTGGGGAAGCCAGCTGGTACATAATGAAACACACATCCCCATCCATACTGCTGACAAATTAGAACAATTTGCTACAGACAAAGATTTCTTATCAAAAATGTCTCTCCTAGCTCATTCATAATGTTAACAATTGTTTACCAGAGTTATACCAGTGTCATGCCAAATTGGTGTTAAATCTATGTCTTTGTAAACAATCGAATTTCATCATCTTCATCCTCCGTGGATTCTCCTTCCTCCTGAGTAAGTGACACTTTATCAACATCAACTTTACACTGGCGAGTAGATAGCTTCTCATAACCTTCACCTTTCCACCAGGACTTTCTCCATGGCTGAGACTTGAACTGAACAGAGAAATTTCATGACAACATATGATTATAATAACTTTGAAGCTAACCACTGTTTCTATAAAGTCTTGGGAGTTGGCTGTACTCCTGTTTGATCTGAAGCTTTTGCAGAGACTAAGTATAATGAATTCTTCTTGGGCTACCAGCCATGTCAGGTGGCTTAATGGAGAAACCACCAACATTTCCAGAACCATCTTTGTCTTTGTCCTCAGGTACTGAAGTTGTAGCAGATCTTGTCCATGCTCTGTGTATAAGTGCCCCAGCCCCTCACCATTAAATCATCTGACATGGCTGGTGCCCAAGAAGAATTCATTATGGCTGTACTCCTGTAATAACATGAGTGGGTTTAATTACATTTATGTAGATTTCTGTCTTCTGGGTTGTTGCGCTGTGTAGTATGGTAGATGTTTACCAACGTTTCAGAGGTCATACTGCCTCTGTCATCAGGGCAATGAAAATCACATATATTAATGCACAGGTAGCCCTCGATTTGCGCCGATTCCGAATAACGCCGATTTTGAAACCAGCAAGTTAAAAAGTGAAAGAAATATATTTTATTATTATTTATAACGTTTTACAATGTATTTCGTACTGATTCTTATACTAAATCGTAATTCTTACATCGCTGATTTTGAATAAAAATTATAAATACAGTCATCTCTGCAATTACGTATGTTTCGTTAACGCGAATTTGCTCCAATGAGATCGATAAATCGGTAAAAGCTGTTTGCGAAATGAAAACTTTTGATATGCGAGTTTGCTTTTATGCAATTTCATTCCTGGCGCTTTAAACTTTCAAAGAACTATTTTATTCTCTGCAGAGGTACCAGGGTTATTTTTACTATGTGATTTTCTATAGGTCGGCGTCTTACATAAATGCAACTATCACATAACAGCAGAGATGACTGTACTCATCAATCACATGAAAGAATCGCAGTCAATCGCGGGGACCAACTAATTGCCGATTGTAAGTGCATAAAATATATTTTTTAAATTCACTTTATTTTATTTAAGTTATTTCAGAGCTTTAAATGTAATGCCATTATATTACTCGTAAATGTTTGGGTGCTGGGAACGCATGTCATTGACTTCCCATTGATTTACATTAAAAAAGAGTTTCAATTTACGCTGATTCCGTTTACGCCGGTTCGTCCAGGAACGCATCCCCGGCTTAAATCGAGGGCTACCTGCATTTTTCTAAGATTAATGGTGATGTTTGGAATTGCTACTATGCTTCTATGCTAACCACCAGTCCATTAATCACACCCATAACCTTTTGAATACCAGACTTGTATGGTAACCAATACTGTGGTATTAAAACCTAAAATATCTGTTAACATAATGACTAGTAACCAATCACCAGAAGACTGAGTACAGCCAACTCCTGAAACATCAATATACCTCAGAAAATGGAGTGTCAAACATAGTACGTATACAGATCTAATGCTTTAAATAGTCAGGATATAAACTAAATCATTTATTACCATATCACGTGTATTTGTATCCTAATGAATTGTAAATTTCTTAAGTAAATATTTGTGTCAATGAATCCTTTATGCAAATTCTGACTTCATATCACATGCATTACAATATTTTATTAGAGTAACTTATGAAATAAAACACAATATACTTATGTGACTTTGAAATGATTGCAGAAACCTGTGTCTGCATTGGATAAGACACTAACTAAATGATCATACCTGCAACAGAGCAAAGATGACACTAAAGAGCACGACAATAGCCACACAGCCTGTTACTGCCATGGTAGTAACAATAGTGAATGGTGTGTACTGGTTGAGATGATCAACAGCTGCTGCATCTTTATGAATTGCAGCCATATTACCCTCACCACTCTGTTCTGCCCCTGAAGGAATTCGACGCTTCCCAGCTGGTGATGAGTTTTGACACTCCCCTGAAATTAGATAGTGACTCACATACTACAGCTCATACACTAGTGGAAACCTGCAAAATATTCATTCATTCATTTAATGACACCATGTCAACTACATTTCTTGCTGACTAGGATATGTATATGTATTCTTTTTGGCATGTATGCAACTACAAGCTGCAAGAATGTGCTTATTTGCTTCACAGTGTCTGTCCATCTGTCTGTCTATATGTGATAACTTACAGACAGTTGAACAGATTTTCATTAAATTTGATACTCTGGAGCTTCCACTAAAAGCTGTTGACACATTTAAGTTTTGGTTAAAATCAGACAACAATAAATGGCAATTTACATGAAGATCAATGTGCATTTCTGCATGTGGAAGTGACTGGTTCGGGAATATGCAGGCTACCTTCATCATCTGGCTGTTATGGCTATCACAGTTATAATCCAAGAAAAACTCATTAATGCCAGACACCCCTCAGGCACAGACACTGTTCACAAAAGTTGAAGGTCAGGGACCAAATTACCCTACCCGCCTCCTCAGGGTGCTCCAAGAACCAGAAGGCTAACCAGAGTGTCTGAGGGAGATGATGCTCTAAGGTAAGGTGTCTGAGCTATGAGTCCTGCACAGTGATGCAGGAGCAATGTCATGGGACAAACATATGATATACCTACGTCATTAGTCGGGCTCTGTGGCGATGACATTATATGTGGAATGACCAATGAGTATTTGGCATAAAACAGTTTCCAGAAGGGAACACTATAGCAATCCCTGAAGATTTTCAGAAGATCTCAGTCTTCAAATAGGATGCTTGTGATAAACCCTCTACAGGGGACTTTGGTTTTTCCTCCTCAGGTAGGTCAGCTGCTCAGAAGAATTATACAAGATCTTTCAGAGGTTTTAGTGAGGAGTCTGTTGACGAAGAGATTGAAAGAGGTGTCACAATGGGGGTGAGTAACCTGATCATCAAGATGAGTAAGTGGACTGGCTAGCAAAAAAAGCATGAAAGAAGAGGAATGTTATCATCAAGGAAACTTAAAGCTTGGCTAGAAGGTTCATTGGGAATCCAGCAGGGAACAGTGATAGTGGCAATGCTGTTCCTGTCAGGAAGCAACAAAGGAATAATGGAGAAACCCCACCATCAAGAGGTGTGGAGAAGAGTAGACCTAGTATAATTAGCCACAGGCATACCAGCTAAGCTCAGATGGCTGAGAGTTCATTAGATATGTCCATCATTCACAGATGGCAGATATTCAGGGGTGGCATTGTGCATTCAACAGAACAGGATGGTTTAAAGAGAAACAAAACTGAAATTAAGAATAATAATTAATACTAAAATATGTGGGTTAATAAATCCATCTTGTATCTTAAAGAAACCACATGTAATCAGTGGTATATGTTACAAACTAATGACAGCTTTTTGGGATTCCCTATAAAGTGAAAATCCCATTATGTGGACACTGAAAAATAAGCTGACCCAGTAACCTGTAATCCAAAAGGCTAGTCTGATACACAGGTTGGTGCAGGCTTGTTAGGATATTTGGGGCAAATGCATGTGAGGTGAGGCCAGGGAAGAGATAATCCTTTTCACTTTGAGTGCAAGTCACAGTATTCAAGGCAGGAATTTTTGTGATTTTAGCCCAGACAGGACAGACACTCAGCATTCCTATAAAAGTTTCAATGACGTCCTCAATATTTTAAGGGCCTGTAAAGCTGCTTGACTATGTGAACATATATAAATATGCTCACCTACAAAGGACTTTACTATAAATTCTTTACAAAGGCAGAATAAGATCATGCTCATCTGGATCCTGGTCAAAAAGGAATTAAAGGTTATGTGAATGCAGATGCCCTGGGTAAGGAGGGGTTTTGCAGAGCATTTTTCAGTCGCAAACAAGTATTTGCAATCTTGCCAAATGTTTGTATGCTCGAGGTTAAGGAATGGTTGAAATTAAACACTCTAAATATCAGACTGCTGCACTACATATGAGGCATTCAAAGTTCTCCATGGAAAGGATTTTTAACAAACTATCCAAGGCTATTAACAGGGTTTATGAATGGCTACTGCACACTGAGGAAGCACCTAAATATAAATGTAATTCAAGGAGGAATACTCCTACCATATTCTGTGTCAATACCAAGATTTGGCTATGTGTAGAATAGAGAACTTCATGTCTGCTTAGATCCAATCCATAAGATATTAGGACGGCCAGATAGAGAACAGTTCTGTCAAAAGCATTGTCATAACAGCTAATTACAAAGCCCTAGTAAGATTTACTGTGTAAAACAGATCCAGTGGTGGTCTAAATGCATGTGGCAATAAGGAGGTGGGCCTCCCCTCAAAGTGCATACAATACAACTAAAGGTAAAAAGTTAAATTCTAGCATATGTGCCAGAACTATTATGCTTTGCATACATTTCCTAACTTCATTCTGAGTGTATGACTTGTGACTTAACTTTCACAGAACTTAGATTCGGTTCATTTTGGAAATGTCAAGAAGAAATCATGCTTAATGTGGGTTGTGAACATAATTTTTGGCAATGCAAATCTCTATTTACATTCATTGTGTGGGTTTAGGGGACTTAAACCCCCAAACTAAGCAGCTGTTGGACCATCTGTAACTACAGATATAACGGTATGCTACTATGACACAGACAGGCACGGCCAGCTGGATTGCATGAACGCAGTGAAGTACAACCAATAAACAGATTTCAGGTTCCCACAGCAGCAAGAATAAAGATGGCTGTCTTCTGGGTTCTAGTACCATGTAGTCTGGTAAAACTTTACTGGCATTTCAGAGGTACTTGCTGCCTTCATCAGGGCAATGAGTAACCTTCTTCTATTTTGCCTCATTTTCTTATGCCTGGCAACATTCCTGATACTCCCTGAGGAGCCCTTATAAGGGGCATTTCCTTTACCCTCACTTTCTCTTCCATGTTCAAGCTACAGCTGCCCTTATCCTTTCCCCTTCTGGCCAATGCTCACCCTTTGTCACACTGATCTGACCAAGGTTCTCCCTTGACTGACTGGCTCCTATATCTGAAACCCATTCGTCATTTGTCATGTGTAGCTCATTCATTTCCTGATGATGGAGGCAGCAAGTACCTCTGAAATATCAGTTAACTTCTACTAGACTAAAACGCAGAAGACAGCCATCTATATACAGTCAATGAATGTTAAATATAATATGTGTAAATCAGTCACAGTAATTAATAACAAATAATAAATAAATAAATTTATTTAATAAGTTTTATAAATATTTTTTAGTCTCCACATAATGTAACCAGACACAGACATGTGTAAAAACATTCTTCCACCCAGACTAGAATGTGACTATACAAACAGCTTTAACCTTTAAGGTCATGTCTACTGGTATCCCTAGTAATTTAAAGACATAGCTTGCACTGCACTGCATCATATAACATGTCATTGTGGTCATCGTATTCCATGAAAATAATGTCAGTAAACTCTAGAAGAATGACCTTCATAAAAGCCCCTTTCCTTTTCTTTATAAATATATTTACACAACTTCCCTTAACAACTAACAGTTAAGATTTGAAAGTAAGAATTAACTTCTTATTTCCAACTACACTCGGTAATTTTCAAATAACACTGATCACAAGGCTGTAAGAAACTTCAATAACTTGATTTCAAAGGGTACAACTGAACTATTGACTTCACACTGATAAATAGTACTCAAATATTTAAACACAGTTTATTTATTTATTTGTAGATTAATTACAACATTATTTTAACAGTGCAGTTTTAAAGACACACTGTGCAAAATAAGTATATAGTATGGAATGTTAAAAATAATATTGAATTAAAAATTTGATTGATATGTTCATACATACACATCACAGTCACAAATAGGATATACACATGCAAATTCTTAAAGAGACAAATTATGTGTCACTTGTGAAAGTTACCTGTAGTCTTGTCACAGTGACAGCAGTCCAGCTGGTTGGGGGAAGTGCAACATGGGACACACTGGTTGTTGAGATGGTCCAAGTGCAGAGGCAACATGCATGCCAAGCAGCTGAATGGCCCAGGACCACTGCATGACCGACAGCTCTTATGACAAGACTTGCAGAGTTGTGTTGGTGAATCGTAGTACTGTGACCCTAAACACTCAACACACAGCCCACCATCCAGCATTGAGTGAGGAGGGCATGATGTGCACTGTAGGGGACCCTCTCCTGTAACAAAGCATGCCTTACAGAGTTACTAAGCACCAGAGGATTTTGCCAGATTTTCAGATGAACATACTGCCTCCTTCTTCAGGACATGGCATTACAATGCAGAAGACCAACACCAACATATTTACTGCTGCAAGAACCACAAATCTCATGTGTCTGTGAAGCACACCAACTTTTAGTGACTATATAAAATTTTCATATGCATCTTATAATTGAAAGGTATTTAAATATATATAAATGTAATATAAATCTTATTTCTAGATAATGAAATCCTGGCTATAAAAACTGCAATTGTTGATTCATGGAATGAAGTGCTGTGGAATATTATATATGTTCAGACTTGTTTATACATTGAAAATAAAGTTACTGATAAACTATTTCTACAAATACAGTTTTAAACAATTAGACACTGATAAGTGAACAAATATCAATACTTTTTCCCTCCTCCACTACCATCTGCTTTTTACTACCTCCAAGAGCTTTTAAGATTTCAGCATGTCCTTGTATAAATTATCCTACCAATTCAAATAAATACAGGAAAGAAAGAATACAAAGGAATAGACCAGCAGATGTTTGGAATACAGTAAACTTCCAATGTGTTCAGCACTAAATACAATGAAAAAGGAACACTTTATACCAAAAACCTAGAATTAAAATCTTCAGCATTTACAATTTTACCTGTTACTTTATATGAATATGCAACTTATCTTTATCCCCCCAAGGGAGGAGCATAGATTGAGGGTGTTATAATCAGGGATCTGAGAAGAGTATCAGCTAAGGGAGAGGCAGTAACATGAGGACAGAGAATACTGCATAATGAAGAGCTTCCTACTTGGTACTTTTATATAAATACTATTAGAATTATCAAATCAAACAGGATGGCATACAAAACGTTAGATGGAAGGTAAGAGGCAACTTGGGAGACTACGTAAAAATGACAGATTACAATTAAAATGGATCTGAAATTAATAATGAATGATAATGTAGACTCAATTCATTAAGCTCCGGATAGAGTCCAGTGGTAGGCTGTTCTGAACATGGTAATGAACTTTTTGGTTTCATAAAAGGCTAGGAATTCCTTCACCAGCCTGGTGACTATTGTGTTTCATGGACACTGTGCTATGTACTTAGTTATTTAGTTATTTTAGCAGAAATGATTCTGCATATTTCTTTAAATGGTATCTTAAGTCCAATACTAGTCCATTTGTTAAATGTATTCATGCATAAACTGGGAAATAAAAGACAAAATTAATAAATGGCATGCATCAACATGTTCGTAACATCTAAATATTTTCAACATCTTTATTTTCAAATCCTCCCAAATACTTAAAACCTCCTGGTATCTATAGTGGACCAAAACTCTGCTATATATAGCTTCTCAGCAATGAACTTTCAAAATATGCATAGGTTTCAATCTTGCATTTAATGCTGAATTTACCATTGCAGGTTCGGCAATAATGATGACATTTCTGGCAACCATAATCTGACTTGAAGAATCCCTCAGGGCATTCAGGATGACACTCTCCTGCAGCTAACTGCCAGCCACGAGGACATGTGACACACTGGTCTCGTCGTGGCCCACTGCACGTCATGCAGCTCAAGTAGCACTTGGCACACACACCACGGTCACTGTAATACCTGTAATACCAATGGTGTTACATGTTTCTCCAATATACTTGCTTACTGTATAGGAATTTCTTTCAAATATAAATGTCTTCCTCCTCACTACCTATGTACCTGCAACTTCAATTCTGACGAAAATAGCTTGCCATTAGACCCAAAACCTGATACACTAGAATTCAATTCACATCATCATAAATGACTTCCTCACAACCAATTTTAAAATTAACATCCTCAGTACACCTCAGTATTTTAAGTGATCAATTCTCGTGAAGTTTTCCACCAAAATAGTGTATGCATTTCATATTTCCCAAACCCAAATGACATGATCAGCATATAATATCTTTATGTAATCACCATAACATATGTTAAGGAAGACCACAAATTGCAAAATTTTCTATTTAAATTTTATCACTACATTTTTACAGCATTCATAAGTTACTTTGCAATATTGTAACAACTATATGTATATATGACAATAATTAATGAATCTTATACAGACCAGTGAAATTAATGTGAAGACTACAACCTATCAGTAAAACGAAAATACATCAAATATGACAGTTCACCAGAAGAACATTTATGACTTCTATAATCATAATTTGACCTCGTACAATGTTTCATTTCAATATCAAGATATTAGCAACTCTGATATCACCAGACTATGGTAAATATTTGTTACATGAAGTAAACAAAATCTATTAACAACATCAAAATAGATTATAAGTAGTTGAATCTAATGATGGGCAATATTGCTTGGAATATGTCACTGAAAAACACTGATATGAAATAAATAACAGAAAAAGGATATTTGTTTTAACTGTTGTTATGTATAGACTGAGAATAATATCATTTATAAATATTTTAATATGGATTGTGTGTCAATGTACTACTGCACTTTTTCAGAGAAAAAAATCAAGTAATCAGTTAGGTTGACTGCCAAAGAACTCTCTTCAGAAACACCATAATATCAGTCCCTGAAATGAACAGGAGAGTTCTAATTCAAAGTTGGCTGACATAAAGGCATATCCTTCCTGACAGTATTAACGCCATAATTCATCAGAGAAGAAAGGAAACAGGAATGCATCAAATGACCATACATTTACTAGTCCATTCTCAGATTTTGGTTTAATCAAACATTTTTCTCTAAGAAGGTAAATTATTTTAGTCTTCTGGTTAAAATTTACAAGATAATCATCACTTCACTCATAGATCACCTATGCAAAACTAATGCAAAGTTAGCAATATCTTCATTTTTAAAGGGTAAATGTCCATCTAGTAACTAAATAACTACACAATATTGGTAATACACCATAAAGATGGGACAATATCAAAGCTGAAATCTAGTACTGAACCCAAATTTCAGGTGATTAAATCCAGTTCACATCTACACAGGTTATATATTTATCCAAGATTCATCAGTGAGGATGGTTCCTATAGCTAATAAACTAGGCAAGATGAAATTATAACACCAAAGTCAAATTTGTTCATTTCAGCAGAGAGATCACAGGAACAAAGACCACAAGACCAAGAAACTGTCCTGGCCTTCAGTTTCAGTGAAAATGTCTTCTGTGCCTTGAAAACTAATGTCAGTAGAAGAACACAGTCAAGACCAACATTGATTGTTTAGCAACGAGCCTGCAAGAAGGAAAGCCACAACCCTGAAAAGGGTACTGAGGGTCTGGCAAAGATGTTTTTTCTGTATACTGAAACCTAATTGCAGTAGATAATTGTTTGAAAGAAAATGACTAAAGATTACACAACAACAGCTCTAATACCAAAATTGTTCTTTTCGGGGAAGATATTATGCACCAAAATTATGTGATGAGGCAAGATTTTGGGTTAAACATTTAGTGAAGAATATACCAGAAGCCACAATTTTAACAGAATATGCATAAGAGAAACTGGTTTTGTTCCCAAAATGCCACTAATATAATACTGTGTGGCTACCCATTTGGAAAGCCTGGGTAGCTCAGTCAGTATAGTAACTTGAATATGGACTGGATAACCACGGTTCAGTCCCGACAGAGGCAGAGGAATTCTCCTTTACCTTCTGCATTCAGACTGGCTTTGGGATCTAATGGGTACCGGAGTCATTTCCCGGGCACAAAGTGTAGCCACGGCATAATGCTAACCACTCACCCCTATCTAGTGGTAAGGTTCAGAATGAGTAGGAGCTGTACTTTGCCCCCCAAGCACCTATATGGCATGTAGTAGGATAGCTTTAGTTTTACTTTTACTACTTACGTGAGTTAAATGTTATTGGTTTCCTATTAAACTATGGTTTGTTTGTTATGATAATCAGTACAGATCCATGTCAATCCTTAGTGCAGCTGCTATTTATATTCATGATAAGGAATAGGTAAAACCCTGATGAATATCTAAGAAACTAATAACTGTAGATAATACTATAAAGAAAAATGTTCTTGGGTTTAGAGATTATATTGTTCCTATGATATAAAATGATAGGCCTGCATGTCAAATGATCAGACCTATGATAAAACTTTGGACAAAAAGACCAATAAGAAAATGTTATTGATTCTAAAATTTCCCCATAATAACACTACAGGCACTCTACTAGTCTTTAACATAAGAATGTGCAATATCCATCACACAGAATTTATTAAAATGAAACAATAAAAGGCTATAACCAATTTTCAGAAATTTATCACATTTCATACTTCACAAACTCATACTAACAAAACTACACTCACATTTCATAAAATAATAATATGCAATACCCATCTCATGGACCTTGTTCGACTATAACTATTTTACTGTATGTCACAAAAGTCTTGTGAAACCAGAATATCTCACTGCAAGTTATTCTTTAAGGCTTTATGCACAACAATTGCCATCTAGTGTTAGTACAGAGAAATTTTTATATCAGCCATCTTTCTGTTAATTCATATGTTACAGGATTCTACTTAATAACCATGTTTATGTAAATAACTTATCTCTGGCTTTTATATAATACACATTTGGTTTGCTCTAACATTCAGCCTACTGAACACTACATCCTTAAAAACACCAAACAATAAATATAATCCCATCTCTCAAGATTAATTATTTAACAATAAACATTAATAAAGCAACATAATAATGCTATCATTATGGAGTGAATGTTCTTGTTACCTAATGATGCAGCTCTTTATCAAAGTAGTATAAACTTTTCTTTTTCTTGTGACAACAATTATAATATATTCCTTCACTTTTGAAGCAACTTCTTTATGCTTTATGCTCTTACCCAGAAGCACAGGTAGCTCGGCACTCGCCACTCTGCAAATGAAGGCCAGGAGTACAAGATGTGCAGTTGATACGAGACACACAGCGCTGACAGGTATGCAGACAAGGTGTGCATACACCCTGCTCCATGTATGACCCATCCAGGCACACAGCCAGGCACTGTGAATTCTGAAGAACAAGTGGTGATGGACAGGTGAGGCATCCTGTCTCTGTACTTCCATCACATGTCTCACATGTTGAGTGGCATGGCCGGCATCGCCCATTCTCGTAGAATTCTGCTGCACATCACAGAAAGTAACAAGAAAGCAAAATCAGCATCTGACAATGTTTGTTGCCTTTCATACTGTTATCATTCACTCACTCTATGGTGCAAGAAATTCTTTGAGAAGTCGATTGTATACTTGGCTTGTCAACTAACAGCCCGCTTTCTTCATGGAACCCATAGGTTCATCACCATGCTCACAAAAGCCCACTACCGGACTATAATCCTGAGCTAGCTGCATCCAGTTCACTCCATCAATTTCTATCTCCCTATGGTCCATCTTTATGTTATTCTCCCACGTATGCCTAGGCCTTCCCAGTGGTCTCCTCCCTTCAGGCCTCCCAACTAATACCTTGTAAACACTCCTCCCTCCCCCAAGCATGTCACATGTCCCGAACACCTCATCCTCCTCAATTTAATCACCCTAACAATATCAGGTAAGGAATACAGACCTTGAACCTCATCATTATGCAGTCTTCTCCATGATCCCTCCCTTCCTTTCAGGTCCAAATATCTTTCTTAACACTTCATTCTCTAAGACCCTAAAACTATGCTCCTCCAAACGTTTTTTGACATGAGATGGGAGGACAAAACACTTTTGACTGAATGATAGCAAGCATTCCCTCAATTTAATCTGCTCTTGAGTTTGTCATGAATGTCATTCTGACTTGTTAGTGTCATCCCCAAATACTTGAATTTTGTCACATGTTCCTATGATTCATTAGCTATCCTTATATTCTGGTTCTGTCCTAATTTCTGATGCTGAGACATAATCATTTACTTTGTCCTTTTTTACATTTATTTCTAGACCACCATCCCTACCAGCCCTTAAGAGTGTTTCTGTGTTCGCTTTTATAGTATTTATATTATCAATCAGTAGACTAATCTCATCAGCATAGACCAAAAGCTGATGTGTCCCATTGAATTCCAAACTGCCCTGATTTTCTTGGACTTTCCTGATGGCATATTTTAAGGCAAAATTGGAAAGTAGTGGCGATAGAGCATCTTCCTGTTTCAGGCCATTCTGAATAGGATATGTATTGAACAAATGTTTACCTACATGAATTTTGCTATAGGTTTTACTTAAACACGTTTTAATTAATCTGACTAGCTTTTTAGATACACAAAATTCAAGCAAAATACTGTAAAAAGCTTCTCTTTTAACTGGGTCATAGGCTTTCTTGAAGTCTATAAACATTGTACTCCCACATTTTCTCTAGTATCAGGCAAATGTAGAAAATATGATCAGTAGAAGATCTATTACAATGGAACCCACACTGATGATCCCCAACAATTTCATTGGCATATGGAGTCAACTTCACCAGAAGAATATCATATGGGTACAGGGAATTTAAACCCCTGAAATAATAAGAAGATAGTCAGATCTTAACTATGGTTTAGTAGTATGTTGGAGCAACTTAGAATTAGGCATGGCCTCTGTTTTCATTATTAATGTTTCAAAGTTTACCAAACATTCTTGAATTTGAGAGTCTGTACTTAACACATTTACATCTTCTTCTGGAATTATTTTTAACATCTCACTTTTTCTTCAACAGAAGCTGATGTTCTGATGTGATGATGTGTACATGTGTACCCACCCCTATTACTTAGTACAGCACACTGGTCCTTAGCACAAATATTTCATTAAGGAAAGACATGGACAAGTAATGGTTTTTTTTCAACACAATGTTGCTCAATTTTAATTTTATATGCAACTTTGTGGAAACATCTCACTGAAAGAAAAAAGTATGACCTAGTACGTACTGTCCATGAAAATTAAATATCTGTAATGTATGCAGCCTGGGAAGTCACGTGGTGCAATACTAAGAGACAGAAATATTGTTGTTTTGATTCTATGTAATCTTTATGGGTAATATGTTATAATATTAGAATTTTTATGAAATAATAACAATGAAACAAAAATAAACTAATAATGATACTACAAATAGTGAAAAATAACAAACATATGTAAGAAATATAAAATTACATTAACATAACAGGCCAAATATTATTCCAGAAGGTCCTTCATGCTCAATTACTATCACAGCATTACCATGGAAATAGTTATAATTACATATACATTAATAAAAACTACTAATGATAACCAATTAACATTGTTTGTTATACATATTCATGGTATATCCACATATAATGAGTCAACACTCATACAATGAAACACTGGTGTTTCAATGCAAACTGATGATACCTAACTATAGGTATTTAATGTTACAACACAGAAATCTTTTAGGCAGTCTTAAATCATCTGCACACACATCAATGCACCCTTTAAAAGTTACCTTTTTAGGCAAAGATTAAAATTTGGATGTATTTTTCTCTGACATTCCTACTTATTTTCCATGGAATTCTAGAATCCCCTATGCAGAACATTTGTGAAAAGGAATTACTGGGCATGTGTCATGGCTTATGGATGGTCTAAGGGGACCATATATCACAACAGCATATCACTAAATAAATAACCCTAAAATGAAAGCCCAGCCAGCAATCCCACAGTATAGAAGTTTTAATAGCTTATTCCCATACAATAATGGCAAAACATCAGTGACAATATTCACTTATATGAAGCACTTCAGTGACCCTGAGAACAAGTGAAGTTAACTACATGATATGGGTTTTAAAGAAAGCACAGCTGTGATATAAACAGCAGAGCACTACAAAGATTCCAACTTACCTGAATCACAATGCCTGCTGCCTTCAGGCACACACCTGCCCCTCTTATTGAGCACCCAGCCTTCAGTACAAGCCAAACAGACAATGCTATTGCAGGTGGTACATCCTACAGCACACTTCAGGCATTCACGGCGTTTCTTGTCGGCATAGTATCCATCAGGACAAATGTTAGAACATGTTCCTGATAGAGCATATCGGCCTGGTCGGCATGTGATGCACTGTGTCTCGCTGGACCCATTGCACGTCTCACATGAAGAATGACACAATGAACAACTGCAAACAATCACATGCATTGTATGAGCTGAAGCTTTCACAGTGACTAAGTACAATAATTCTTCTCAGGCTACCAGCTGCATAATTGGTTTAATGAAGAAAGCACCGCTTTCTTCATTAAACCATCTTATACAACTGGTAGCCTGGAAGAATTCATTATAATTACTCTCATGTGTATTTGTTTAATTATTTTTACTGTAATGTAAAGTAAATGGGTTTTACTGCAGGAGATATACAACACTTTCCATAAACAAATAAAACCAAAGTCTTTGATGCTTTGATATTTAGCATGGAAAATTTAATTTTACCCACTAAAAGCCATAATTTATCTTTCCTTTCATTTCCTGCTTCTGTTAGGTATATATCATTTCAGGCCATAAACCTTTACATACATGTAATACAGAACATATTTGCACTCATAAATCTATCATGAACACATAACAATGTAAACATAATGTTAATACATAATACTCAAGGAAACAGTATATGTTCATTTAACCATCTCAAGCCAAAGTTCATCTAAATAATATTTAAGAAACAGTGAAATGGAGTGTTAGCACTCAGTTTGCTGATTAAAGCCTGTATGATATTTGGGCATTAAAAATGCTGCTAAAATGGAGAAATATTGGTAAATGAGGTTGATTGTATACATAGTTTCTTCTTCATTGCACATTCTTTACTCAAAGTGCATGAAGTGAGGCCACATCCATCCATTCATCTGTTTGCACATTCCATCTCTAAACTAGTGAAAGTATGAAGGTGGCTGTCTCCTTGATTGCAGCACAGTGTAGTGTGGTAGAAGTTTTCAAAGTTTAAGAGGTACTTACTGACTCCATCAACAACTTGATGATGCAGGCAGCAAGTACCTTTGAAACATCAATAAACTTCTACAAGACTACAAGGCACTACAACTCAAAAGACAACTTATGTTCATACTCACTGCCATGAGAACCACACATCCTACCCAAAGAATTTCAGTAAACTTTTGTATTGAATGTCTATACTAAAAGTTATTTACTATATTTAATTTGTTATAACTGTTCAATATGACCCCTACTTTACATGAAGCTAAACACACATTTTACCATTTTCTAAAAATTTCATAGCACAAGAAACTGGTACATTACATAAAACACAGTTCTTATAGAGACCTACAAATTTATTTGATGCATTTCTTTAAATAAAGAATATTTAATGAAGTGTAACAGAAATAATTTCCTCTCTGGGCAGAATGATATATGTATTGTGAAATGGCATTGCAACAATTTAATTGTGTCTATAACAGATAAACATCACGTTTAATGTAAAATGAAAAACAGCAAAGAACATATGTCCAAAGTACTCTACTGGAGTAAACCGAACTTTTTGTACATTTGAAAAATGGTGAATAAAATAGTACTTATTGAATTACAGACAGACAGACATACATACACTTTAAGGTACAATACTTTAAAATTAAAACCAACTTTACTCTAATCACAAAAAATTGACAGTGAAACAACGGTTCCGGAGAATCTGACGTAAATACGTCTTTGTATTTAAATTATATTTATGCAAACACCATATCTATACAAGATTTTGATCTAGTAGTACTACATTGAGGATCTGACATCAACATTAAGCCAAACGTTTCCTCCATAAATATGACAAAGCTTTGATTTTCCTCCTTCTTTAAATCAATGTTAAAATCTCTTGCCAATATTATGGCCATTGTTTTACGACCTTCTGTGGCCATAATTGAAAACATCTCTGTAAATTTGGGAGCAAACGTTCCCAAATGACTCAAACAAATCTCTTACAATCATCAATAGGTGTGTTGTTAGAAATATACAGAGTAACAATTAAAACTTTTTCACCATTGACCATACACTGCCACACAAATATCACCTCTCTTTTCAGCTGCAGCTATTCTGTTATCTGTTCCATCCTCCTTAGGTAATTTCATCAACAGATGTGGGGTAGACATGGTAGTTGCTCCATGTTTCTCGTACATAGCCACTCCGCCTGCTCTTTGTTCGTCATGCATAAATTGCGTGATGCATTTACAACAAATTTACAGTTTCATTGTTGTGCATCCATGTTTCAGTTAGCACCAGGATATCGGTATCAGTTATGTCTTGCACATGAGTTTTTAAACTCTGTACGTTTAGAGTAGTCATTTTTAGATCACGAATACCAGCACTCCTTATGAATGCTCTCACTGAAGCAGTCAACGTGGGCAATATATGTGTTTCTAACCGCCTCAGCTCAGTGCGCAAGTCCTCTACCTTTGGATTGTTTGTTCCCTTGGCATGATGAAACACGAAGTCGTTGTTTCTGCTTGTGATGTACAAACCGTCCAACGATGTAACGCGAGACAGGGCAACGTACACCAACTGATGATCTAGACTCTTGTTGTAGTTGAATACAATTTGTTGAAACGTACCACCCTGCGACTTATGAACCGTTAGAGCACCAGCTTTAACCAACGGGAATTATAATCTTTTACATTTAATTTGCCTGTTTTTTAATGTGATAGTGCCACTTCGTCTATTTAATGGTGTCCAATCATATTTTAGTACGTTTGGTTGTGAAGCTACGGTAGCACGACACTTTATTCTAGCCTTTCGTCTGGCAGTTTTGGGCTCCACAAGCAACCACAACCGCTGCACACGAGCAGAATGTTCAGGATTGTATTCAACGTACGTTAAAGTTGCCATGCTACCATTAACCAAACCATCCTCTACATTCAACATGTGGGAATGTATATAACAAATCTGCTTGATTCCGACATATGTTGCCTCATCAAGTACCACGCTGCTTCCTGGCTACTCATCTCAATGCTATTTAAGAAATTCAGACTCACCTTCTTCAACAGTTCGCAGTAGTCTTGGTCAGGGTACTCTTCTTGCAGTTGAATCATGTGTCTATGCAAGTTGCTTATGCCTCGGTTCGTCTTATTCACATACTCCACAACATAGGAAGCACATGAATATTCTTCAAGTATGAATTGTAGGTCCATATTGCAATTCAAGATTTCAGCAATCCACGGATTAAACGTATTCGTCCAGAGCTGCATCATGTTGCGCTTTATGAGCACCGTGGGTCTTTGAATGCTGGCTCTTAGTACATTTAAGTATGTGTCCATCTCCAATTCTTGATCGTCCAAGAAGCGTTCCAGAGTGTCAAAGTTTCTATTTTCCAACACCTCATGCAGCTTCGATGATCGACGCTTGTACATTTCTCTCCTGCCATCTTCAGCACTCATCGGAAGAAGAACCATGGTTTTATCCATTGGCCAATATGGAATATTAAATCTACAAACCCCATCATTCTCAAAGTTTCTATTTTCCAACACCTCACGCAGCTTCAATGATCGACGCTTGCACATTTCTCTCCTGCCATCTTCAGCACTCATCGGAAGAAGAACCATGGTTTTATCCATTGGCCAATATGGAATATTAAATCTACAAACCCCATCATTCTTTTTGTAACATGTGAACGTGTGACTACACACTTGATTGTTGTATGTAGATAGTGATTCTTCACTGACAGAACATAAATCATCTATCAACGAAATGGTTTGTGGCATGTTTTCCGAAATTTGTTCCCTCGGATCATTGTCCAACCATATCAAGATGTGTGCATGTGGACTGCCTCTGTGTTGGAACTCAATTCTCTTGAAGCAATCCACGATGCGATATTTACCAAACGGACTAAACTTTTCATCTGCAAGACATGCATAATTACCTCAATCAACTTATTACATACATACATACATACATCTTTATTACATGCCATGGATCCATAAGTTAGTCAGATGACAATAGGATGTAGAATAAGTCATAATAATATAATACATGTTATACAAATACAAGTCATACTATTATATAAATGTCATAAAATACAAACAAAGGGTTCACATAAAGTAGAGATAAGTTACAAGTAAATCTACCCATTACATACAGAAGATAAA